GCACATAGTGTCTGATTCTACTTATATGAGACACTACAATAATCAGAAAGTAGAAGAGGGTTACCAGGAACTTGGGTAGAGGAGAATGAGATGTTAGTGTTTAATGGGTACCTAATTTCAGTTTGGGATGATAAAAGAGTTCTGGATGTGGATAGTGGTGATGGTTGCACAACAATGTGAATGTACTTAATGCCACCAAACTGTACATTTAGAAATGGTTAAAGTAAATTTTAAGTATATTTTACTAAAATTTTTTATATATAAAAAAATTTAAAGAACATGAGTATAGTTGGAAATATATATTAGCAAATTGAATTCAGCATTATAAAAAGGACACTACATCATATCTAAGTGTGGCTTATCCTAGGAATACAAGGTTAGCTCAACATTTAAAAATCAATAATCCTGGCCAGTGTTTCTCCGTGGTTAGAGCATCAGCCCGTGCACTGAAGGGTTGTGGGTTTGATTCTCAGTCAAGGGCACATACCTGCGTTGGTCCCTAGCCCTGCAGTTGGTGCGCATGCAGGAGGCAACCAATGGATATGTCTCTCTCACATCAAAGTATCTCTCTCTTTCTCCTCTCCTCCCTCCCTCTCTTCCGCTCTCTCTAAAAATCAATGGAAAAAGTATCCTCCCTCGGGTATTTTTAAAAATTAATATAATTCACCTAATTAACAAACAAAAAAAAGAGAGAATCAAGCATCTCACTAGAATATGAAAAGTACATAATACAATCCAATATCCTTTCATGATTAAAGTTCTCAAAAAACTAGGCAAAGAAGGTAACGTTCTCAACCTGGTAAAAGAGATCTAAGTAAAGCCTATACGTAACATCACACTGGTGAAAGACTGAAGGCTGTCTCCCTACAGGAACAGGACAAGAATATCCAGTCTCACCATTTTTATTAAAAATGTACTGCAGGTCTTAGCTATTATAATGAGGCAAGAAAGAGAAAGAAAAGGCATGTATATCAGAAAGAAAAACATAAAAACTGCCTTTATTCATAGATGATGTAACTCCGCAGACAATCCCAAGGAATCTACAAAAAAGCTACTAGAATTAATGAATCTTAACAAGGTCATAAACTAGAATGTCAATACACAAAGGATATATATTGCAGTAGCAGTGAAAAATTGGAAAATAAAATTTTAAAATATATAATTTACAATAATATGAAAAACTTAGGGATAAATCTAACAAGATACTTGCAAGATGTGTTCACTGAAAACTACAAAACATTGTAGTTTTACTGAAGAAAGTAAAGAGCTCAATTAATGGAGAGAGAAACCATGTCCATGGATTGAAAAAAATATTGCTCAGAAGTCAGTTCTCAAATTGATCTCTATCTATAATGCAATCCTAATAAAAATCCCAACAGGTTTTCTTTTTTTGGCAGAAATTGACAAGTATATTCTAAAACACATAAGGAAAAGCGAAGGCTGGGCATTCAGACCATAAAAATAAATGAGAAGAGTTCCTGCTTTCAGGAAGGTCACACTGGTAGGAGGGAGAAATAGTAAACAATTGCAAGACATGATAGGTAATATAACAGACATATGTAAAAGGAAGGGATAGGAGAGTCATGCGGAAGAGAGATTTCAGCTAGATCTTGCTAGAAGTCTTTAAATCAAATGCTTTTCTTGCATCGTGATTGAGACATTAACTAGAGTACATTTGGAAAATGGAATTGAATTTTTCAAGGATGAGTTTATGGGTAAAAGTTTAGCTTTTTTTTCCAGCTTCCATAGAGCATACTTTTTATTGTACAGGTATATATATACAACAGTTTAATTTGTGAACATTTACAGGCGTGGAGTTCAATACCAAATCTCCACAGCACCCCATACACTGCACTGTGCACTCCTGTTTTGGGTTCAGCCCAACAGGAATGAGACACAAAGTTATTGCTTTGTGAACAGAGTTTCAATTATATAGAATCTTTCGCATCAAGAACAGAGCCAAGGATCCTAATTCCTAATACTCCATAAAAAGTTTTTTTGTTTTTTATCTAGCATCTTCAGATACCATAAAGTAGGAGGCAGATTCTATCCACTTAGCAACTAATGGGTGGTATTGGACACAATAAAAAATTCCCTTGTTCAAAGGGGGCCTTTGAGCTTTACAAAATGTGTAGAAACAAAGCTTGCTGATGATTTTATGTTTGTTAAAAAAAAACAATTTTGAAACTTAACTCTTCAAATGGAATGTCCTTTGAAATGACATGTTCCTTTAAGGTATTGAAGCTTGATTTGCCTATTTATTTCACATCTTGGTGATTTGAGTAAACTTGAAAAGTCTAGTTTTTCAGAGAAATCAAATCCATTCTTTCATTTACTAGTATTCACTAGAGGCCCGGTGTACAGATTTGTGCACCGGTGGTGTCCCTTGGCATAGCCTGTGGGGATCGGGCCAAAACCGGCAGCCTAACGCCACCTGCCGCTCCGCCCTGCCACTCCTGCTCATCCCAGCCTCACCGTGCCCACCACCACCGCTCAGTAGGCTTGCTGCAGCAGCCAGTCGTAAGCCCTGCGTCTGGCACCTGTTGGTCAGCTGAGTGGCATTCCCACTGTGGGAGCGCACTGACCACCAGGGGGCAGCTCCTGCATTGAGTGTCTGCCCCCTGGTGGTCAGTGTGCATCATAGCGACCGGTCAACCTGTTGCTTAGGCTTTTATATATGTAGATTCTGTGAGTACTAGTATGTATTGCCTCAGCCCTAGGCTAGATTCCGGGAATGCAAGAAACAGTTCTTGCCAAAGGAGCTTTTAAGCTGATGGGATGACTAATTGCAACACAAGTAAGAGTGCAAAGTAAGCCCAGGGGGCTATGGAAGTGGGGAGGCCTCTAATCTGGATAGATAGAGACACTGAGCTTCACTCCTGTAGACCAGGGTTATATGCCTTGACTTCATCTACATTCTATCTGATGATATTTCATAATGTGAAGGAGTGAGATGGAAAAGTAGGAGAAACTAAGATGAATGTGTCTAACTTTGCAAATGGACAGAAATCCAATGCAGACATCTCTGGGAGCTACTTACAGGGTCTGCACTTCTCCATGCCACTCCCTCCTCCTCTACAAATTGAGTCCTCCAAAGATTGCCTTGTTAAGGTTTAGGTGGGGGACAAACAACAAGAGTTCGGCCAAGAGACCCTCTGCCCCAGGAGATACAGCAAGACCTTGAAGTCACGTTTCTTCCTTTACTCTTGACCTCCTTTTATGAGCCCAGTTCTGTCCTAGCTCTGGGAGTAAATGAAGAATAAATGCCTGAAAAGCTAGGCTGCACACAGGCAACCTAAAGAGCAAAGAAACTCCCACTGGATAGTCATGGGGAAGGGAGCACTTAAGTCTCCATATACTAGTAGTCTCATACTATTTATGTATTTATTTATTATCCTCACCAGAGGATATTTTTTCCATTGACTTTTAGAGAGAGTGGAATGGATGGGGAGAGAGAAACATCGATGTGTCCATTGGTTGAGCCTGCAACCAAGGTACATGCCCTTGAACAGAATCTAATCTGTGACCATTCAGTCCTTGGGCAGAAACTCTATCCACTGAGCCAAACGGGTTAGGGCTCACACTTGATTTTAACCCTTGTAACAATTCAGGTGATCAAAGGGGTTCATAGAAGAGGTTCAGCAACTTGCTCCAGTCACTGCAAACCCAGTCCCATGTAGGACACAAGAGCATAGGCACCTCAGCTAGGGAGCGCCTGGGGTCCTGTGAGTGTTGGGGCCCTAACACCCAGGAATGTGCTGTTGGCCAGTCACCTCTGCCTCCCCCCATCCCCCCACCCCCCTGGAGAGCCTGCGCCTGGCTCACAGGGCTCCTAGGCACTCGCTGGTCAGCCCGTGGTCAGCCCTTCACACTGCGTCCCCCAGAGTGGAAGGCGCTCTACGGAGAGGCAGGTGGTATCCCCATCCTGGCATCGGGAACAGCCCTGCAAGTATCTTCTGCCCTCGGCCACCAGCCCTCTCTGGGCTCCCACCGCAGCCGGGGCCGCTTCCCTCCATGTCCCGTGGCCGGAAGCCGGGGGCCGCGCGCGCAAATGCCTGCGTGGCCGCGCAACCGTGGTCTCAACTGTGGGCG